GTTTTTAATATTTAGATTTATTGTTTAACTATGTATTTAATTATTCTGGATGTATTATTCAGTTAGAATGTACCAAGCAAAATCGGATTGGGTATTGGGTGTTATTTTAAAGATTAACTTGATTAATTTAGTGGGGAGATAGAAAGGCATCATACTCTGATTAGTGATTTCAGGAGAAATTTCTTTTTTTTTTATAAGGAATGAGACAAAGGTACAATAAAGAATGGACAAAAGATACAAATATAATGACTCAAATTAAGATGATTAAGTTAGAATTAAAAAGAGTGAAATATGGGGAGAAGTTAATATAGAAGACTTAGAATGGTAAATAAAATAAGTAATGATATGTAATATGAGCATGAATACAGTTGAAGTCCATGAAGAAAGAGATACCTGGGTCCAAGTTACTTTCCAAAAAGATTTTTTTTTATGTTTTGTGTGTTGTGTATATATGTTTTTTTTGGGGGGGAGAATTAATGAAACCTTGCAGAAATATAGAATGAGAATAATGGTAACTAAGTCAGAAAGAAATAGATGAAATAATAATAATAAAATGGAATAAGAGTAAAGAGAAATAAAGAGAAAATGGATAAGAGGTTTTTGTATGTTTATATGGAAATGGTTTAAAACAGAATTATAGTTCATCTGACTTGTTAAATTTATAATGGAAAAAGGTTTAAATATGTAATGGATAATGATGACTTGTGTGTTTTGAAAATTAATAAAACTTGTTTTAAAAAAAAAAAAAGGTTGGGGATACCGGGCCGCGGCATAAGAAAGGTTGGGGATCACTGAATTAGATCATTTGAAATGCTTATAGAGGAAAAGGGTGTATACGAAAAAAAGGTTGATGAATTAATTACTTCAGAAACCTTTACAAATATAAATTTTATACAAAATCATCGATTTGTGGGACTTCCTCGTGAAAAACTTACACAAAGCATTGTACCTTATTGGAAGAAAAGATTGACGGATTGCGAACATTTAAAAACAGGCTGCCAATTTAAAGACACTGATCAATTAAAATTTCTAAATTATTTGGAGCCAAATTATTGGAACATTGAAGAAGTGGTGGTTCCATGGAGAGCAGCTGAAGAACAATTGGCTGCATTTGGTGAAATTTTCAATTATGAAATCAATATTAATGATTATCATGATTTAATAGAAAATGTACCAAAAGATTAAAAATTATACAATTCCTTGCAGCATTAAAAAGGCTAGAGATATGATTAAAACTATTGCAGTCAGTTCAGCAGAGGTGGAAAAGGGCTCCTCGCTGATGAATGTAATATGTTCAGAGGGCAGAAGTTGCCTCACAGTTTCCCATATTACAAACCTCCTGACCGTCAATCTAATTGGCTTACCTCTGGAAGAATGGGACCCTGTTCCTATAGTAAAGAAGTGGCTATGGGCACATCACACAGCTGATGATGCTTGTGTTAAACACAAGAAAACTGTAACTTGGGATGATAATAGAAAAGCAATTTGGCAGTACTTTAAATAAGTTTTGTTGTTTTTTGTAAAGTTTTGTTATGTAATAGTTTTTGATTAATATTTTAAAATGTTGTAACAATATAGTTTTGTGTACCTTTTTATTATTGAAGCATTAAAGACATGACATAATAAACCACCTTTTGTTTTGGTATATCTTTTTTTAATACTTAGTCATTAGGGCAAAGAAGTGATGTTGAGTTGGCCTCGCCCAGCCCTCTCCAGGGCTCCCCAGGCCTTGGAAACTGGCAAAAAACACTTACTAAGAAACTGACCATTAAGCAAGGACCTGGTCATTAAGTGAGGGCCACTTGCATTTGGTTTGCCAGTCACATGGCCACCTGGCCACTCCCACCGCAGTCACATGGCCACCAAGCCACACTCACAAATTAGGCCACGCCCACAGAACCAGTTGTTAAGAAATTTGAATCCCACCCCGACTCCTCCTCTGCTCGCAACAGAATACCCTGTATCACCAGGCTTGAGATTTTGGGCTTGGACAACCTTGAACTACGCCGCCTACAGTTAGACTTAAGCTAGCACACAAAATTATCTGCTACAATGTCCTACCTGTCAATGACTACTTCAGCTTCAACCACAACAATACAGGAGCACACAAAGATACAAACTCAATGTAAACCGCTTCAAACTCTATTGCAGAAAGTACGACTTCAGCAACAGAGTGGTCAATGCCTGGAATGCACTACCTGACTCTATTGTTACATCCTCTTACCCCCACTCCTTTAACCTCAAACTATCCACTATTGACCTCACCCTATTCCTAAGAGGTCTGTAAGGGGCGTGCATAAGTGCACCATCGTGCCTACCATCCCTGTCCTATTGTCCCCATTTATTCGTACCTATTTCCTGTATTCTTACTAATGTTTATACTTATACCTATTATCTTGTAAGTGATTGACAATTAAATAAATAAAAATAAAATAATCAAGGAGAGAAGCAACCTGGAATTAGGGAGAAACTTGCGAACAGTGAGGACAATTAACCAATGGAACAGCTTGCCACCAGAAGTTGTGGATGCTTCATCACTGGAAGTTTTTAAGAGACTGGACAGTCACTTGACTGAAATGGTATAGGGCAGTGGTTCCCAAAGTGGGCAGTACCGCCCCCGGGGGGGCGGTGGGATGCCTTAGGGGAGCGCTAAGAGGCAAGGGGGCTGGTAGGGGGGCGCTAAGAGGTGGCAGGGGGGCGTTTGAGGCGCCAGCCCTGCAGGTTCACTCATTGACTGCTCCAGAGCCAGCACCTCCGATGCGGAAGCGGTAACACGTTATGTGCCGCCATGGCCACGTTTGATGCGCCGCCCCCCTGCTGCCTCTTAGCACACCTCTGCTGGCCCCCTTGGGGACGCTAAGGGGCGGCAGGGAGGCATTCGAGGCGCCGGTCCTGCAGGTTCACCCATTGACTCTAGCACCGCTCCGGAGCCGGTGCCTCCAATGCGGAAGCGGTGGCACGTTATGTGCCGCCGCGGCAGCGTTCAATGCACCGTCCCCCTGCCACCTCTTAGTGTCCCCAAGGGGGCCGGCAGAGGGGCACTAAGAGGCAGCAGGTGGGTGTTCGAGGCGCCAGCCGGCCCTGCAGTTTCACCCATTGAGGCGCCGGAGCGGTGCTACAGTCAATGGGTGAACCTGCAGGGCCGGCGCCTCGAACGCCCCCCTGCCACCTCTTAGCATCCCCAAAGGGGGCAGCAGAAGGGCGCTAAGAGGCGGCAGGGGGGTGGCGCGTCGAACACGGCCGTGGCGGCATGTAACGTGCCACTGCTTCCACATTGGAGGCGCCGGCTCCAGAGCAGTGCTAGTCAATGGGTGAAACTGCAGGGCCGGCTGGCGCCTTGAACGCCCCCCTGCCGCCTCTTAGCCCCCCTCTGCCAGCCCCCTTGGGAACGCTAAGAGGCAGCAGGGGGGCGCTCGAGGCGCCGGCCCTGCAGGTTCACCCATTGACTGTAGTAATGCTCCAGAACCGGTGCCTCGAATGCGGCAGCACGTTGGGAAAAGCCGCTGCCACCACTTTCCCAAAGTGCCATCACTGTCGCATTCTGTCTGTCTGTCCGTCCATCGTTCCATCCATCCATCCATCCAAAAGGTCTGTCTGTTTGCCTGCCTGCCTTCCTGCCTACCTACCTGCCTGTCTCTCTCTCTCTCTCTCTCTCTCTCTATCCATTCAACCATCCATCCATCCATCCATGTTCGAAGCACCAGCCCCGCAGGCACATCGGGAAAGTAGAACAAAGCCAGTTTGAGAGGGAGGGAGGGAAGGAGGGAGGGAGAGAGAGAGAGAGAAAGAGAGAGACCTGATGCATCAGAATGAATGAGGCCTAGTTTAGACTGAGGCCCTTTTCCACATTGAAACATCTTTGCCAGCACATTGAAACCTCTTTGGCTTCTATTAAAGGTTTTGTGAACGAAACATGGTCAAGACTATCAGGAAGCTCTCACATTTTGTTGAGGCTTTAAACAGGATCCATTGGACCAGATTTCCACCCTAAAATATTACTTTTCCCCAATGTATTACAGTGCCAATTCTGAAGAAAGCAAAACAAAAATGTACTGGTAAATTACAAGAACACACACACACACACACTCCCTCCCTTCTAACCCTGCTGGAGCAGGTGATTGGACTAGAATAGATATCTCATTATCTTTCTCCTCCCTCCCTCCTTCTTTATTTCTTTTTCTTTCTGTCCCTTCCATCCCCCCTCTTTCTTTGTCCCTTTTTCTTTCTTTCCCTTTTCTCTTTATTTTCTTCCTCTTTCTTTTCTCTCTCTCTTTCCCTGTCTCAGGCTCATCCCTTTGGATCAGGGGTCGCCAAACTTTTGGACCTCAGGGACCACCAAACTCATAAATTTAAATCCCGGAGACCACTAATATGAATTTTGACTGACGGTGGCTTTCTGGCCTTGGTGGGAAAGAGAGAGAGATCTGATCCAAACTCTCTCTCTCCCTCTCTCTCACACACACACACACACAGGCAGGGGTGGGATTTAGACCCCTGATCTAAAGCTGTCAAAACTCCAAAAACTGGTCAAGTAGCTCTGGGGAGGCCAGTCATAAATTAGAACACTTGCTAAACAACCGGTCATTAAGTGAGGACCACTTGTATTTAGTTTGCCAGTCAACTGGCCATGCCCACCCAGTCACATGACCAGCAAGCCACGCCCACCCAGCCATATGACCAGCAAACCATACCCTCAAATTAGGCCACACCCACAGAAATTTGAATCCCACCCCTGGGTGGGGGGCACTGAGGATGAGTTTGTAGCACCAAGGGGGCAGTGGACCGAAAAAGTTTGGGAACCACTGGTATAGGGTTTTCTGCTTGAGCAGGGGGATGGGCAAGACCTCCAAAGTGTTTTCCAGCTCTGATTGAACTGCGCCTGCGCCACTCGCCCAGCCTGCCGTATTGTTCCTTGCGTCGTCTGTGCCAACACTGAGCTTTTCTTGGGCGTGACACCAAGAGTCCGTCCCGGTCGTTTAGCGTCAGCATCGTGCGTAGACCTTACCGACTGAGGCGCCATTTTACGTTCCCATCACCACAGCAGAGAAGTTAAGTGATTGGAGGTAGTGCTAGGAGAAAGTCGGGGCTCGGCGCTCCTCCCTTGGATTCCCGCTTGTTTGGCCACCTGCCGCCTTAGACACGGGCCAGCATGAGTGATGTGGAGAATAACTTCGAGGGGAGGGTGAGTAGTGAGCGGTTCTGTGCGGTGCTAGGTGTCGGAGGCCTGGCCCTGAGGGCAAGAAGTGGGCGAAGAGGAAAAACGAGCCTCAGGGTCGGGTGCTGAGTGGGCCGGACTCATTCCGAGAGACTTCGTTGTTACTTGCCAAAATGGTTCCTTCATCTGAGCTGGGGCTACGCTGCATCCCGCTCACAGCGCCCGCGCTCGCGTCTGTTTCGACTTGGCCCTGCTTCTTTCCTTCCGGACCAGGATCTTCGGACTTACAAACCGTGATCCCAACTCCCCTTTTGGCGCTATCCCTCACCCCTTTAATGGGTTTGGGTTCTAGCGCCCTTTCGCTTTTTTTTAACCGCTTGCCTTGTCCCTAGTTTTTCCCCATTTTGCGGTTCTTTCATTCCCGTTTGCTTTAAATAAACTTTTTCACTGTAATAAGACCCTTCGACAAATCCAAATAGAAAATGCGGGGCTGGTAGGAAGGGACCCTCCCTACACAGTCAGAAATCGGGTGGGCCGGCGATAAAAGCCCTCTTGGCCTGGCAGAGAATTGAGGGCCTTTTGTAATATGAAAATGGCTTCGGGTTTTTTTCAGTTAAAAATGCCATTATGCTTCCAGCATGATTTATTAGGTTTACACCGGAAGAGTCAACATTTTGTTACGATAAGGTATTAAGGTATGGTACTAGCGGATATTTTCTACATTATTGTGGCTGGTAATAATGAAAATATTTAATTAGAAGCTACTTGCCACTGTTCCAATTTTATTTTGCACTATCTTAACTTCTCGGGTCATTAATTATTTAAAGATTTTTTTACATTTTCTGTAGAGAGTTTTTTAAACATGCTTTTAAATATGCCGTCTGGGAAGTTTTTTTAGATTTAGCTCTGTGTGTGTGTGTGTGTGTGTTACTACAGTATTAAAAAGCAAGATAATTTCATTCCCCTCCTACCTTATAAACTTGGGAAAAATCATTTTTAAAAAGTGAGGTATCTTGTAATTTTCTCAAAAATGCTAATAGAAGTGTGTTTTCTTTACTGCAAATCTTATCCATGGATCTTCAGTCTTTACAATTAATGTTCAGTTGCGCCTAGTAATGATGCTTCATAAAGCTGATTCTTACATTTTAAATCTTGAAAAACAAAATTAAATGTTAAGCTGCGAAGATAAGTGCTTTTGCTATATTGAGGACATTTGATTTCCTATGTAGAAATTCAAGAACACATATCTTCTTAACATTGAAGCAGTATCTGGAAGTTGAGAAGTGTCTGTGGAGATTCTCAGTAATCCAGGTCATGGTTGCCCCAAAGGTGATTTTTTTCAAGAGGCAACTGGACTTTGTGTGTGTGTGTGTGTGTGCTTTCTTTTTGAAGACGTTTTGCCTCTTATCCAAGACGCTTCTTCAGCTCTGACTGGATGGTGGAGAATGAAAGGATTTATATTCTGTGCAGACAGCTGGTCATCTGCATTCTTTTAGGGGGGTTATTAAGGTCACTTGGAGGTTTATCTGTGTCATCAGGGTCACCTGAGTGGGGCAAATGGGGCAACCCTCCTTGGAACTGTTGAAAGGACCATGTTGTAGATTGTAGATAGATAATGTCATATCCCTCCCCCTCTGTCAAAATTTTGGACAGAGGATTACTGGTTTGAAAGAGGGGTCAAAGTGGCCATCCAAGTCAAAATTGAACAGCCCTCTCTCAACAGAGGGGGAGGGATACAATATCATACTTGTGTTTCCCTGAAAATAAGACCAGGTCTTATATTTTTTGGACTGCCAAAAAAGGCACCAGGTCTTAGTTTCAGGGAGGTCTTATATTTTTCCCAATTTTTGTTCCCGTACCGGGAAGGGTGGGGGCGGCAAGCTGCCCCTCCCGCTTAGCACCTCCATAGCCTCACTAAACAGCTGATCTGTGCTGCTTTCAGAGCCCAAACGTCCTCCACAAAACAGCTGAGCTGAGCCTGCATGTCTTCGCTGAACAGCTCTGCAAAAAAAAATCAGTTGGTTTGGGGTGGACGGTTGTATGGCTCGCTCAAGTTGCAAACAACCCGGGGATTTGAATGACCTTTACGTGGCCAGTATGCCTACAAGATCCCTGGTTTCCGAGGCTGGCGAGGCTCGGTGTTTGGGCTCTGGCACACACTTCTGTTTCCAGGAGGCTGCGCGGTGCCTCCAGCTCACTGAGTCTGGCCTGCTGATTTCGGCTGGCAGCAGCTCTGACCTGATCCTGGCCGCCAACGCTGCGGGCAAGAACCGGCCATGCCGATCCCGCTTCATGGCTGCACAGACGGAGCCTGTACCAGCTGCTGCTTCACGTGGGAGAGGGAGCCCATTTGTCACATTAGCTGGGAGGGGGTCACCCATGCAGGTGCCGGGCCTTGGGGTGCCACCCTGAGCAGGTGCCGAGCTGGAGGCATGGGACGGTCAGTTCCCTTACCTGGTTGCTTGCCCTCCGCCGTTTCTCAACAAATGTCTCTGTGTGTGAGAGGAGACAGAAAGAGAAATGGCAGAGAGGGAACCCTTTCAAACAGCGTAGCCTGCGATTATTGTCACCCCTCTCTGTCGTTTCTCACTCACTCACTCACTCTCACACACACAGAGACAGACATTTGATTGCTTGAAAGGGACAGGCTGTGCTTTGCTTCTACTGTAAGCACAACAATCTTTCAGAATTGCCTGCCTTTTCGTTTTCTCAAGCAGCAGCAGCCGGGTAGAGGTGGGGAGAGCCGATTCCAACGGGCTGCATGGCTTTCTGCCTCATCACCAAAAACATCTCCAGACGCCCAGAGAGACAGAACTGCCAGCTCTTGCTGGATCAGCTGATCCACGGGCCGTGATTAAGGGGCTAAGGTGACTGGGGAAGGGAAGGGCTGCCTCCTGGGCTGGCCATGCCCACCCTCTTCACTAGGGTTTATTTTTGGGGTAGGCCTTAGGCCCAACCCAAAATTTTTTGCGGAGGGCTTACTTTCGGGGTAGGTCGTATCTTGGGGGAAACACGGTATATCTCCAGTCTATAACACCCTCCTTTCAACAGTTCCAAGAATGCTCCACACCCATTTGCACCACTCGGGTGACCCTGATGACACAGATAAACTTCTAGGTCAGTGGTAACCAACTGGTGGGCCACGGCCCACTGGTGGTCCACGAGAAAATTTTGGTGGTCCGCAGAGAAATGTCACCCCCAGAGCATCCCCCAAAGCAATCCAGGCTGTGCAGGAACACAAGGCTGAGTTGCCCACATGACCCAGGGGAACCCTTCCTTCCCACTCACTCCTTACCTGGCAAACTTGCCTGTTAAGTTGCTATTTTTCCTTCCCCCCCCCCCCCCCCCGACCATCAGCTGTTCTGTTCTGCTGGGAGATTTAGATTAGCAAGAAAGCAGGAAACCATTAGATTTCTTGCTTTCTAGCTAATCTCTAGATCTTTGGCTCTGCTTTTAAGCAGAGCCTAATCTCCCCTAGGACTGAAGCTTCTGTTATTCAGTTGCAGACTCAGATAGCCAATGGCAGAAACACAGATCTCTAAGTGAATCTGTGATTCTGTGAGCAACTCAATCTGCCTGCCTGCTTTGCCTGATTTTGGGTAAAAGTTGCCCTTTTTTATAAAAAATTCAATATTTACATTAATATTTATATTTACATACAGGCCATGCCCAGCCAGTCACATGACCACCAAGCCACACCCACAAATTAGGCCACGCTCAAGAACCGGTTAAGAAATTTGAATCCCACCCCTGCCTTTGTGTGTGTGTGTATGAGAGAGAGAGGGAGAGAGAGAGGTTAGATCAGATTCTCTTTCTCTCTCTCTCACCGTCAGCAAGCCACCATTAGTCAAAATTCATATTAGTGGTCCCCGGGATTTAAAATTATGAGTTTGGTGGTCCCTGAGGTCCAAAAGGTTGGCGACCCCTGCTCTAGGTGGCCTTAAAAGAATGCAAATGACCAGCTGTCTGCAAGGAATATAAATCCTTCCATTCCTCACATCCTGTCAGAGCTGAAGAATCTTCTAGGATGAGAAGTGAAACATCTTCAAAGAACAACCAGACAGTTGAGAAGTGAAACAGATGAAACAATCTGAAACCAAGAAAGATAGAAGTGTATAGGTATGTGAAAAAATAAATTGCCCAGCATTACTAGATTAAGAACTTGGGTGCAATCAAATGCTGCTTTGTTTCTTTATAAATAGTTCCTTATGTCATTCAAGTAGGGTGCTTTTTTATTGTTTTTTTGCTGTGGTGCTCTAAGGTCTGGCCTTTCCTCCTCAAGAAAGTAAAGACTCTTGAAACTTTAGCATTTCAGAAGGAACCTTTTACTGAGCAGGAGTGAAAGCAGGACAAAGGAAAAGCAGACTCTGAGTTCCCTCAGGCAATACAGTTAGAATAATAGGAATTAGAGACCCCTCCCTTCAGTCCAGTGTGGATTCAACCAATCCACAGGTGTTGAGATGTTATTGTAACGGCCGTCCTGGGATCCTGATAAGCGAGTGTTCTCAGGGTCATCTGCTGCCTTTCAGAATGAAGCAATCCACATGACCTCCCCCTCTCTTCACATTCCTCAAAAGGTGAGAAAATCTCAGGGTGCTCAGGCGCCAGGATAAAGTTTATAAAATGAAAAGTTACAAGCAAGGAAGAAAGCAATAAACTAAATAATACATCTAACTACTACATCCCCCCTTCCCCCCAGATGAATGGCAGTATCATGAACAGGGATCTGACATGTGCACTTCTCTTAGTTGAGTGTTCTGCCTTAGCTACCTCTGAATTTCTTGACCTAGTCCAGGGGGCATGCACTTGCCTTTAAAGTGCAGTGGCCTAGGAACAATATAAAGACTGTTCTTTGAATCTTCGTAACACCTATGTTTATCAGATTAAAGACTAGCAACATAGTAGCTTGGACCACAGCTTTCAGTATAGTTATCCCAGGATTCAGAAATGATCTGAGTGAGATATCAAATTTAGAAACTGCCCATCTCCCTCACAAAGAGACTCTAGGCGGTATACAAATAAAATAT